GGCGGGAGGGTCAGGCAACAGAGAGATTGCCTACAGAAATCGCTTGTCTTTTTTCTCTCCCCCCTCCCCAAGCAGAGAGATTGGAGGGGAAGAGATTTCAAGTGAGTAAGCTGTTTGCATAGCATGCCTGTGACTCCCAGTCCTGGCTGCCAGCAGGATCACATTGCTTTTGATGTGTAGAAGAGCAAACAGCTTACTTTTTTGCAATCCCTTCCTCTCCAATCTCTCTGCTCTGCAATGGGGGGAAAATTAAAAACCGCAGGTCGGGCACAGAACAACGCATACTGACTTAATAGCGATCATGTGACTGAGGAATGGTCTGAAGGTGTAAATGGTTGTAAATTGAGCGTAAAGTTATTTTTTCAGCACCTTTGTTACTTCAAAGGGTTGCTGAATGAGTGGTTGCTAAGTGAGCACTACCTGAACCTGGAAAAAACTGCTGCTGGATTTGAAGTCTATTAAAATATTCAAACACTTCACCCAGACCTTTTTGTCTTTTGGAGTGTTACGTATTATTTACCTTTATGATGATGGGATTTATAGGGAATGGAAACAACTTTTTGTTTCTTTTCCATTACAAACAGTTCCATTCAGAAAAGTCCATTTTGTCTACTTTTTATTAGAATAAAACTTGAAATGTATGTGGTGAAGCATGTAGCATATACAAACATATTTTTGCATTAAGTACTTGCAAAATAATACCCAGTACACACACAGCCCACAACCCAACTCTATAAACTCTGATTCCCTCATAGTAAAGTTTTTTTTTTATTTAAACAGAGCAACGTACTTACCACCCATGCAGGCTGAAGTCTTTGGACTCCTATTGCTTTCCTTGTAATGTTCCATTCCTTCATAACTCATTTAGTCTAAATTTATAGAAGCAGAGACATGACTAGTCCTCGCTGTATGCTGGCTCAGCTGGAAAAACATTGGAAATAACACAACCCAGTCACGAGTCACAAACAATAGCTCAGTCACAGTACTCTGAACAGTCAAAACACTCAAAATGCATTGCTCAAAATCCAGTCTAACCCAATAGCAAGAGGAACATAACTAGTCCCCACTGCCATACTAACTACTGGAAATTATAAACAAATTACAAGCTACCAAACGAAAATATAATCATAGGTACTCAGAACCTCCTGGCTGAAACTTGATACAATGCTGGTCAATTTTTGTTTTAAATACGGCACAGAACATGTTTATTTCAAGCTGAAAACAAAACTCTCACAACACACAAATTTTGTTACAAGCAGAGAACACTTGGGTAATTTTGCATAGTCCTACATTTTATGATTGTACTATTTATTATTATTGTATACACTTCAGTTTTATGATTGATTGGTTTATTATATGTTTGGCATTCACCCATAGCTGTTGGGACCATTTAGCATATATATTTGTAAATAAATAAAACAACTATTTTGGCTTTTTGCCAAAATAGATGCAAAACTTTCCATCATGTTCAATAGCAAATTATTTTTTACCTTTTTTTTTAGATTTTTTTTTATCCTGCCTTTATTATTTTTATAAATAAGGCAGTGAACGTACCTAATACGCTTATTTTCCCCACCCGTGAGGTGAGTTGGGCTGAGAGAGAATAACTGGCCCAAAGTCATCCAGCTGGCTTTCATGCTAAGGTGGGACTAGAACTCACAGTTTCCTGGTTTCTAGCCTGGTGTCTTAACACTAGACCAAACTGGTTCCCTTTAAAATACTTTAAAATAGTTTTTCCCAACCCTGAGAAATAACCATCGTGGCTGGGGAAACAGAAATTATAACTCCAGTACATCCTAAGGGCACCAACTTGGGGGATTGGAAAGTAATTGTAAGAAAGATAGCTAAAGATGTAGTGTCCTTTTACTGCAAGAGTGCTGTTATGAATATTCTATGAAACACGTGTTTAATAAAACTGAAGGCCTGCCACTTAAGAACACTCAGATATAAAAAAGATCTCATGAAAAAAATGTTTTTATTCTTCTGTTGATGAAATCCAGTACATTTCTATAAATTATCTGAGATGAGGACTTGTTAACTTTATGACAAGTTCTACATAATAAACTGGGTTATTAATCTGGTATTTCTCTCTGCTTTTTATTTTTAATAACTAATAAAAGGTGACATATCAGAGGAGTGCTTTGGATTGCCTTCAGAATGCAGACAGACAAAGTTTGTTAATGGAAATCAATATATTACATGCACAACTAAACAACGGACAAACTGATGTAAAGGAAGAAATAGAAATTGAACCAAAATGTCAAGGTAATATGTATGATTGTTTGCTCTATGCGGTTACCTTCACATTCCTTCCATCAGACTTCTTTTCTAGGCTTCAGTTTAAAAAAAATAAGTTTGTGTATTATTTTTGGTATACATGAATTAAAAACATAAGGATTCCAAAACTCAACCTGGATAACATATCATAGGATCTCAGCCAGCTTCGGAAAGACAGGAAGTAGCACTTACAATATCAAGGTTGTAGGGTTCAGCTATCTGTTAAGATCCCTGACATCTCAGGTTACAGACGTTTCAGGTAACAGATCTTAGTCCAACAGCTTGGAGAATAGACTTTAGTGGCCTAGCTGGACTGAAATTCTTGTAATGGGATTATAATGCATTCTTTATGATGTGGAACACTGTAATGGAATTAATTCATGTTTCATGAAAGGACTAAAGATTAAACAACCTCGTATTATTATTGCTGGAGTTAAATGTTTTCTATAAACACTATACTGGGTTTGCTCTTTGTTCAGGATTTTGTTTCATTGTGACCGATTAGTATATCTAGTCAGTTCCTTACTGTGTGACAATGTACTTTCTAGAATTGTTGGGATACAATATGGAAATGCAAATAGAGCTCAAAAATACCAAGGACAGAGCAGCTGAACTTCAGGAGCAGCTCAGCTCTGAGAAGATGGTGGTTGCAGAACTAAAGAATGAACTTGGGCAAACCAAGCTGGAACTGGAAACAACACTAAAAGCACAACATAAGCACTTAAGGGATCTGGAAGCTATCAGGTATATTTTTCAGGGCTATTTTCTATAGAGGTATACAGGATCTACTGTAAATATGTTAAATGTCAACTTTAGACTGTTCTGTTCTTACCCATATTTTTTTATGCAAGATTCACTTTGACTTCTTTTGCTTTTAATTATTTATTTATTTATTTTTAAGCATGGAAGGGCCTCTTACAGCAAACATGGTATAGAACTGATTATTTTAATCAGATTATTTTAATCTAATTTATTTGCTTGCTGAATTTTATTGATACAAGAAAAACAATGATGAAAGTTGATATATACAATGATGTATGTTAACCCAATCAGTGCAAAAGAAGAGTACAGGGGAAGATTAGTAGTAGAGGTTGTGGACAAGAAAGAGGTTAATACTACTTCTCAGCTGCATGCCCATCTCACAATTATTGTTAAGAAGCAAAATTTTGGAAAACTGCAAGTTTGCCTTGTAATGTATAGTTTTGCCGTCAGTGCACAAAGGAATGTAAATGTTTTCTCCTGTTTTAGTTATTTTTCAAATGGAGTTTATAAAAGGAATTTATCTTGACTTTTGTCAGAAATGAACTTAAGGGAAAGGCAACTGAACTTGACATCTTAAAAGATACAATCACAAGCGAACAGAAGAAATCAAGGGAATTTCAGTGGGCCTTGGAGAAGGAAAAGGCTAAAGTAGAACACAGTGAAAAAAGACAGAAAGAAGAGATTGAGGTAACCAATTTTGGTTCTTCAAAATGTACCCTGGAATACAGATGATGATGATGATGATGATGATGATGATGATGATGATGATGATTGGGGGGGCTTTTTATCCACGCTTTAGTGTATATTAAATAAGATGCAGTACATTGTAAAGATAGAGAATTAAGCCTGTATCTTTAATGTTTGTATTTCCTCACAGACTTTTCAGACAGAGGCTCAAGATTAAAACAACAAACTACTGTGAAAAGTAGAGTGCATTCCAAATGCCTCAGTGACCAAAACTAAATATTTCTAATTATTCTTGTCAGCAGTTTCCTTGTACCAGATGTGGTCTTTTCCACTGAATAATTAACAAAAAGTCTTTCTCTGTGGGCTTAATGAAACAAGTTATCAATATGATAAATATTTCTCACATATTTGAATGAGATAGACAAACATTTACATAGTATAATTGTTAGGGAGAAGACAGCAGCAATAGCTGAAGTACCTATGGTGCACTATCTACCTGTTTTAAAATATCTTTGTATAATAATAAGACAACATGATCCCGGAGGCTTGAGATAGTATATTATAATATCTCATAGTGCTCTTGGAATAGTGCCAGTGTACTTCATTTGATTGAACCTTGAACTGTGTATACTTTATCTCTATAATCCATGCTGAGCAGTGAGGGTTATGAAAGAATAAGTCTGCTGGAGTATCTCTAGATAGTGGAATGTGTGTTTTATTACACAAAGAAATATTTCCATCTTTCTGAGATATAATAATCTGCCTTACAACTATGTGTTCAATATTATATAGTCTTATTGGCAGCAGGACACTGATGACTTGGGCAGAGGTCTTGCGTGCCGTTTATCAGCTGAACTTTTAAGCCATAGATGTGAGGCAATGAGCCAGTGACATTCTGTATAGAAAGCATGTGCACTAATACTGAGTCTGGACTGTTCCATGAGATACCATATGCTGCTAATAAGTATATAAAATATTCCCCTTTCTCATCTAGTTCAAGTTAAGTTGGATCAGTGTAGAGCCTGTGTGCAAAATGTGTAAATGCCTGAAAGGCCTTTGAATTCTTATACAGTAAAAAAGGAAAAAAGCCACAAAAAACAGTGTTCTTCTGTATGAGTTTTGACTTTACTGTTTTATAATCCCTATTTCATAAGCAATGTAAGCAATTAATATGTGAGTATTTGAAATATTGTTTGCTTGTGCATTTATTTTATTTCTATATTCTTCCAGTTTATAAGAGAACAATAAACATAGCATTAAATAAAACCATCATAATTAAACCAACCATTCTTACAAAGAATAGAAAAGATAAAATTATTTTTTTAAAACAGAAAAAGCAAAATAACCAGCTGACTTGTTATTCTATAAATGTCTTGGTGAAAAGGTAAAGACTCCTTTAAGTCAAGCTTGACACATGATGACTAGGTGGGCATGTACATGTAGTCTACATGTACTTAACAGTACAGAAGTGCTTTGCCATTGCCTTCTTCCAGAATTTTCTCAACATCCCAGTCTAGCCTACATCCCTGGGGTTTCCTGGTAGTTTCATATCCAAGTACTAACCAGGTCTGACCTTGCTTGTTTCTGACTAAAATCAGCAATGGTAACCAATCAAACATCCCTCAAGAGAGAGTTCCATATTTGGAGCGCTGCCACTGAGATGGCCCTACTCCTGGCCTACTATGATCTGAGTCCACCAATGGAAATATGAACAGGGCTATCCCAGCTGATCTTAATGCATGGTTAGATGGCACTGGAAAAATCAGTATTTTGATCACCTGGTTCCTAAGCCATGTAGGGTTTAGAGAGTAATCACAACACCCAAACTGTGCTATATCCAGACTGAAAGCCAGGTTGAAATGGACCTAGGTAATTGGTTTCCTCCCAGTATACTTGTAACTAGGTGGCCATTTTGATGTTCAGCACCATGCTCAAGAAATAAATATATCCAACTGGGTGATAGTTGGCAAAAACCTCAGCTTTCTGGGAGGATCTCTTTTAAGAGAGACAGCATCACTACCTTCAAAGCATTAATTATAATTCTCTCACATAAAGAGATGCTACCCATTCCTTGAGCACACAGTAAGATCTCTGCTGATGCCTAACAATTATGATAAGTAAGAATCTAGCTCAGATAATTGGCTTAATCCTCCAGAAATGCCTACTTCCATTGGTTCCAGTAACTAAAATTGATCCCATAAGTATAACTCTGACCAGACACGGTCCCCATATAATTAACAAGAGCAGATGAAAGCAATGTTGTCCTCAAAATGCATCACAAATGTATCCTGAGTCTGCCTCCAGATTAGCCTCCAGTCAGTAAGAAAACCTCTTTGGGAGTTGTTTAAGGATGCAGTGATGGTGGAGAAGTTAACCCTCTTACTCTTTTACATTGCACGATAAGTGAAATTATACACTCCGATCTGTGGTCAATAGTATTTTCCCAAGATGTGTGCTACATGTGCAGTCAGTGATTCTCTGCCTGTTTGCTTGATTGTCTGGTGTTTGTCAGTAAGCCAAGGATCATTTTGGGCTCATCATAACCAAAGATGGCCTTAGGAAATATAGCGTCACTGTTCAGTAGAGGGACTAAAGCTTCCACAGAATTGTAAGCCTTTGCATCTGGAAGAAAAACTTAGTCTCTGACAGTGAACCATTTTAAATGGCTACTTCTCCCTTTCAGAGAGGTAATTAGAGAAAATACAAATTTCACTATAAAGTGATTTCCACCTCACCAACCATAAATTCCCTGCCAATCCTTCCTAATCCCAAAACCAGATCAAAGTATGTCCTACAATTTGTGTTAGGCCTATGAAGATCTGAGACTGTTGTATTAGCTATAAAAGGCTGTCTTCAGATTCTCCAAGATCACCCCAAAGATTATCTCCACCAGCTCAGGCAGGGAAAGATGTTGAGCAGCATCATGAGCAATATATCAGCAAGTTCTCTGTTCTTTCTCTGCAATCCAGCACTAGGTACAAAAAAAACCTTGCAGCACACTCCCAAACAGATTGTGTCTTCTTCCCCACTCCAACCTATGCTGGTGCTGGATATTGGTTACTCAGCCAGGAGAGTTGACTCAGATATCCTTTGCTCCCAGCATGGCTAGCCAGGTCTCAAATTAGGTCAGCCTTTCATTCCTGATAATTATTTGTATAATGAATGCCTTATTCCAAGATAGCTTTGCTAACAGTAAAATAAATAGTTACGATTTACAGCTTTACTCCTAAAATTGCAGGTATTCCGTATGTTACATGTATCCTTAATATACTACTGAAGTCCAGAAAAATAATCAGTGAACAAACTTCTGAATTAAGTAAAACCTTGAATTAGAATCCTAGTTAAGATAAGCACATGGCTAGTCTTTCCACACTTTTAAGTATCAGATTCTAAGACTCTTCAAAATTACTTTTATGGTACATTCCAGTGGTCTGTTCAAAGTCATATGTACTGAGAGTTTTCTTTTGTTCTTTTCCCTTGTAAGGATTTGAAATATTCTTTTGAAAATGAAAAACAGAAAAATATAGAACTGACTAATCTGTTGGAGCTTGAAAGAGAGCTGTCAAATGATTTGCAAAAGAAGATGGAATCCCAGGAAACACTAAATGCGGTCCAGCTATCCCAGGAGCACAGCTGTAACTCTGAGCTCCAAGTACTGCTTGAATCTGAGAGGCTCAAAGTTCTTGAGTTATGCAGTGCCCTAGAGAGAGAAAAAGACTTATGTGCCCAGCTCCAGATGATTGAACAGACAAAGCGGGATGGAAGTTCTACACTTGCAGAAGAATTATTCAAAGATCTGCAAAAACAATTGGATGAAAAGCATAGCCGTATAGTTGTACTGGTTAATGAAATGGAAAAGAACAAATTGGAATATGTGCAATTGAAACAACAGATGGAAAAAGAAAGGCAGATTCAGAGGAAAACTCTACAGGCAGAACAAGATGCTAATATTCTGGCACAGAAAAAAATTCATGAACTGGAATCCAGAGTGGGAGACTTGCAATGGCAACTTGGAGAAGAGAGACAACAGGTTCATCAGTTGCTGTGTGATGAAAAGAAACATCAAGAAATGGTCCAAGAATTACAGCAAAACATGCAGAAAAAAGAGGTAGAATCACAGGTGGAAAAAGCAACATGTCAGACTGTAAATGAGGTATGTAGCGCTCAAAGGCAAACTTATTTTGCCTTTCAGTATTATAGGTGCTTATTAATACAATTGCATTTGTTATTTTCCAGAGTAATTTTCTAAATCTGCCTTTGCTTATTGCTCATTTTTCATACAAATAATTTCATTGTTTCCCATAGTGCAGCTGACACTAATATATGAGGAGAATGTCATATATTAGCACCAGTTTTGTTATTGCTGTCACCTTAACAAATAGAAATGAAGCACTGGCCCTGATTAAAAGTAATATCATCATCATCATCAAATATTTACTACAGTCAAAGACCAGTATAAGGAGGGTACAGTCAGTTTAAAAAGTACAGAAAATACTTCAGAAAAATAATAATAAAAAGCTAAAAGTTATAAAATAGAGAATATGTATCTAAAAGGGATCTAAAAAAATTATGAAAAGCTGGAAGATATTAAAATATACACATTATAACAAACTATATATTAAAAAAATAGTCTAAAAATATCTAAAAGGAGGGGTAAGAGCATTAGATGGGTGTAGGAGGTCATAAAAGTCAGTATGTGGCAGACTATATCAAATTAGAGAGCGCTCTAGTATGATGAACTAGATGCTTATTTATATTAGTTTATGGCACAGGTCATCATCTGACAAATTTTAATTGCTGCTGCGCAACATTATATGTTGTAGCAGTGTTGGTATCTGAAAGCAGCAGGAAGGTGTAGAATTATCCTGTGCGTCCTGGGTATTTATACAGTAATGGTGAGATGAGTCTAGTACAAATGTCTCTATAATACTGGTTAAAAGTAAATTGGTTATAGTTTTAATATGTTTGTACATATATGCTAATACTTAAACATTCTTCAGACTTTATTTTAAAGCTAGTTCCATATTGTTTATTTATTTGTATACATCTATTTCTATGCTGTCTGTTCAATAGATTTTAATATCAGAATTTATCTTAGTATTGCTTTAAGTGAATCATAAGTGATTGGCTTATGACAACAAGCATGCTTGCATCTTGGGTGAGGAATGAACAGTGGTTGGATGAAGTCTCGCATAGTTCTGTGCCTCACCCCATGATTAGAAGAAACAAAACTGAATCCTTGTACAAAAATACAATTACAGTTGAATTGGATTCTGGATTATTTTAGAGAAAAGAGCAGCATGAAAAGAAAAGGATTACAATATCCTAATTTATACCACCCTACTTTTTTCACATGCAATTTTATTTAGCTTATTTACTTATTTATTTAAGAAAATTATATGGCTGCCCAACTTGTATAAATGCAGCTCCGGGAAGCATACGTCAATAAAGAAAAACCAAAAATGCAATTATAATTAAAATTGCAACAGCAAAATTAACAGACAATCGCCTACCCCCCCTCAAAATACACTACATGTCATAAGATGGCATCACCTACCATCCTGATCCCAGTGCCTGGGGCAAAAGTCACATTTTTAATGCTTTCCTAAAAGTCAACAGGGTTGTGGTCAATCATATATCAGGAAGGAGATCATTCCAGAGAACAGGCACTGCAACAGAAAAGGCATGTCTGCTAGGTCTCATCAGAGCATACTGCTTTAAGGAAGGAGCATGCAAATCCTAGGTGGGATGGTCTTGTCAATAGTCTTGCAGTCAACCTTTAAGTAAACTGTGCCATATAGGGCATTATAGATGATAACCAGCATCTTGAATTGTACCCGGAAGTCTGTTTGGAACCAGTGCAGCTTGCAAAGTAGTGGTGTTATTGTTATACAAAGGTTCACCCATAACTACTTACATGCTCCGTTCTGGACCAGTCGTCTTCAATGACAGCCCCATCTACAGCTCTTTGCAATGGTTCAACTGGGAGGTAACTAAGGCATGAGTGACTGCAAGTAGGATTTCATAGTCTGGGAACAGGCACAGTTGGCACTTAAGTCAATATCGTGCAAACGCCCTCCTAGCCACAGCTGCCACTTGCTTCTCAAGTAGGAACTGAGTCCAGGAGGACCCTCATATAGTGCATTGGTCTTAAGCAAGGGGGTGCAACCCTTCCCAGAGCCAAGGATGGAAAATCTCTAGTTCCAGGATCAGAGAAGCCCAAATCCACGTTCATTCAGTCTTACTAGAGCTGAGCTGAAGCCTTTTCTTCCGCAACTAAACCCCCACAACCTCCAGACACTGGGATAGAACTTCGATAGCATCACTTGGTCAGCCAGCTATGTATATATAGCATGCTGATGATACTGTATCCTGTGCTGACAGATGACCCCCAGCAGTTTCATGTAGATGATAAAAAAGCAGGGAAAGAATATAGCCCTGAGGCACCCCATAAAGCAAGAGTCCAGAGCTAGACTGCTCTCCTCCTACCAACACTGATTGGAACTGGCCACGGAGAAAGGAGGAGAACCACCAGAACACTGTCTCTCTCACTCCCAAGCCCTTGAGCCAATCTAAAAGGATACTGTGGTTGATGGTATTGAAGGCTGCAGAAAAATTGAGAAGGTGCAGGATGGTGCTGAAACAGTTTTGACCATTGTTTGTTTTCTGGGATCATGCCTTAAGTCCAAACGACATATAGCTATGCCTATTCCCATATACAGGTAGTCCTCATTTACTGACCACATTGGGACCACCAACTCTATTGCTAAGCAGCACGGTTGTTAAGTGAAACATCACATGACCATGCCAAGTTACAATGTCAGTTCTGGCTGCAGTCATTAAGTGAATCACCATGGGTTGTTAAGCATGACATCATGTGACCACAATTCGTGATTTCCTGCCAGCTTCCCCATTGACTTTGCTTGTTGGAAGCTGGCTGTGAAAGTTGCAAATTTGATCATGTGATCACAGGATGCTGCAATCTAGTTTTGTTAAGAGAACAATAAGCTACAAAATACAGTAATTGGGTGAGACTTCCTGGTTTGTTCCTGCAGGAACAGTCTAGTGGGAGCAGTACAGGAGTGAAATACTACTTGTTTGATCACAATAAGTCAGAACCCTTTAGATTTATGATTTACTGTTATGTGCAAAGTGGCCCATTACAGTCAACTTAAATAGTTTAGAAATACTTCATATAATTTCCAAGAAAACTGCTTTAATAAAAGTTTGTCAGATTTAGCTTAATTTAAAAGAATTCTTCATAGTTACAGATTATCTAGCTTTTAGAACTGTTATATAGGTAAAATTGGAAAATCTGTGACTGTGTAGAATTATGTTAAAATAAGCTAAACCTGACAAACTTTTACATGCTAATGCAGTTTTCTTTAGAATTCTTTGTTCTAAAGGCAGTTTCTCTTCTCCATCCCCAAATATCTATGTATACATAAGCAGTGTTGTTTTCTGAATAGTTTTTTGTCACAATATATGCACTTTAATATTTATTTATAGTTTACATTTATTTGTATCTTGTCATTCAGGGTACAAATCCTTCTAAAGCAGCTTAAAAACAATATAAACTATCATGAATAACAATACAATTAACTGATTTTTAATAACATAAATCTGAGTACTTACTTTGAATAAATAAAGCTATTATTCAGTAAAAGTACTGTTCAATCATGTGTGTATATAAAAAATATAAATGCCAGAGAGGGCGGAGCTGGCGTCACGGCGATAC